GATCAGACCCTGCGGCGCCTGGGGCCGCGGGGGCCGCGGCGGCGGCGCCGACGCCCGGAGGGCCAGCGGCGGCAGGCAGGGCGGCCCTCCCCGCACCGAGCGCCGCGGCCAGCGCGCCCAGCCCGCCCGTAGGCGTAGCGGCAGACGCGGCAGGCGGCCCAGGGGCGCCCGCGGGGGGCGCGGCCGCGCCAGCCAAGGCCAGGGCGCCAGGCGCTGCGGCGGCGGGGGCCGCTCCGAGCGGGTCGAACACGGCCAGGACCCCCTTCGCGACGCCCAACACGTTGTCGGCGCTGAGCTCGAGGATGAAGGGCGAAGGCGCCAGAGGCCCATGGCCCTGGGCGACGCAGCTCCGCGCAGCAGCCCAGGCGACGGCTGCCAACGGCGGCCGCCAGAACTTGTAGAGCTTGTTGGCGGCGACGCCTACGATCGCGTCGCCCTGGCCCGCCGAGTCATGCACAGTTCTCGAGTCACCACCTGCCGAGTCGCTCTCAGCATATACCTCATCGTCAAGGGTAAGGATGTACCCAGGCAGCAGAGTGAGTCTCTCGTGGAAGAAAGCGGCCGCCCCGACGTTGTACCAAAAGTAGTGGAACTGTCCAGCGGCGCGAGCAGCTATTCCACCTGAAGGCGGAACTTCCTCGCCTGGGTAGTCGCCGCACTCGCGAGGTCGAGAGTGTGCGCGGCCTCCTGAAACGATGCTGGAGCGGGTGCAGGCTGCACCACGGGGGCCGTCAGCAAGCTCTGGAAGCAGTAGCCGCCAACGACGCTGCCGTACGCGAAGCCACCCACCACGAGCACGACCACGAACTCGATTGACCAGCCTGACGGCTGGGCAGAAGCCAGCGAGCCTTGCCAGTCGATCAGCGGCACTCCACCGCTGGGCAGGCCAGCGCAGGAGAGCAGACGCAATCGAAGGAGGGCGTCGAGCTGCCGCGCACGGTGATGGCAGCGGAGAGGGCACTGTGAGGTCGGCGTTGACCCGCGCAAAGAATGAATGCTTGCGTTCCTTTAGAACTTGAGCAAGGGAATACGGCCGCGGTGTTGCCACAAATGCCGACAAGTCGCTGTATGATGATGATGATGATGATGATGATGATGATGATGATGATGATGATGCTGATGATGATGATGATAATGCGGGTGCTGGTGCTGGTGCTGGAGTTGGTGATGGTGATGCCGCTGCTGATCATGAACGAGAAAGAGGCGCAGGAGGGCGACGATATTGAGCGATGATGGCGGCGGTGAAGTTTACGATGCCGCTGTGAAGAAAACCGTAGTTCAATTGCACAAGCTGCCAATCGTCCAGAACTGGATTTTAGCCGCTTGACAGGAACCGATGGGAACAACGCCCAACAACGACTGCTGTCCAACACCGGGCCGTCGCCTCGAACGGAAGACGCCCGCGGCGAGAACGACAACGAGCCCTGCCCAGGAACGGACAAGAGCGGCAGCTGGTCTTCGCCCCCAAGACGAAGGCTTTCAAACTGATGGCGAATTCGGATGAGGATAAATCGGGAATCTCTAAGAGCTGGCGGGACTGGAAGATGTATCGGGTGTCGCGGCCATCCCAGAGCCTTGCGGAACGCTCCGAGACCGCTCGCCCGAATTATCCCGGGTAACTGCGGTGCGGGGTAACTCCGGTTTGGGCCTCTGGGACGCGAACCCGTAGCTACCCCTGACTGTCCCCAGCCCAGATGATTCGCGAGGGCTGGACGCCCCAATTATCCGGGTGAACTGCGGTGCGCGGTAACTCCCGTTTGGGCCCCAGAGGTGCGAATACATAGCTATCCCTTACCGCCCCCAGCCCCGATGATTCGTATATGGGCCTGCTGGCCCTCCCCGTCCCATCCCGATCTTCCGTGGGGAAAGCAAACAGTACCGATACCACTACTCCCTTGACCCCTGCCGGGGCGGCGCGTTCTGACCAGGATTCCGAAGCGAATCCAGCGGTGGCGACGAGGGCCCCCCTGGAGGCCTCAAAAAATTGGATACCGAAGACGGTAGCTGTATGGATATCTAAACACGGCATACACATAAAATGTCTGTGCTCCGCGCGGATCTCTTGGGTCTGCGCTGGACCCGCACCAAGGGTGGCGCCGGAGGTGCCGCCAAGGGGGCCCAGCGCAGATCTGGTGCCGAGACCCCCTCGCGTTGTGGAGAAACCACGCCGGTTTTTTCTTACAATGTTCGGCCTCCAGGGGCCCTCACTGGGCCCCGGGACCGTCGAAAACCGACTCAGGATGAAAAACGGGTCCCCAGGAAATGGGGTCCAGACCTCTGGGGTTCGGCGTCGCGACAGAAATCAAGACGTCAGGGGTCTGGAGCCTGCGCGTGGGGTCAGCTTTAGGTCGGGCGTGTCCCCCTACAGGCGGATCTTGGACGAAAAAAACAAAACAAGTCGAAATCAAATACTCCAAAATAGTCAACAAACAAAAAGAAACTCGTCCCCAGACTATGTTTGACTGATTTCGGAAATTCCTCCTGTACAGGGACACGCCCGACGTAAGGTCAGCTCCGATGTGGAGCCTGCTCGTGGCGTCTGCGCGCGGGACGCCCGGGCCCGTGGCGGGCCCGGGCCTGCGCAGGGGAGGAGGAGGAGGAGGGGGAGGAGGAGGAGGAGGAGGAGGAGGAGGAGGGGGGGGAAAAGAAAGGAGGGGGGAAGGAGGGAGGGGGGAGGGAGGAGGGAAGGAACAAGAGGAGGGGAGGAGAAGGGAGGAGGAGGGAGGAGGGAGGAGGGAGAAAGGGGCAAGGGGGAGAAGGGGAGGGAAGAGGAGGGGGAGGGGGAGGGGGAGGAGGGGGAGGAGGAGGAGGAGGAGGAGGAGGAGGAGGAGGAGGAGGAGGAGGAGGAGGAGGGGGAGGGGGGAGGAGGGGAGGAGGAGGAGGAGGAGGAGGAGGAGGAGGAGGAGGAGGAGGAGGAGAGCCTGAGCGTGGAGCCTGCGCGATGAGCCTCGTGGTGGGCCCTCGCTGCGCCGGGGCCAGCCAGGGCGGGCCGAGCGCCGCCGAGAAGAGCACGCGTGTCTTCAAGGTGGCCCCGGAGCGAAGCGGCCGTGAGGTCGGGCAGCTGGAGGCCCCCCGATGGCCTCTCCAGCTGCTCATCCTCACGGATGCCTCCGACGGCGGCCTCGGTGCCGCCAGATGCCAAGTCGGCCCCGGGACAACTGGGCCACAGGTCTTGACACAGGGGACGGGCGCTGAAACCGCGCCTGCTGGAACAAAACTGCAAACGCTTGATAATTACATGTGGTGCAATTCGATGATATGTAGATGTGTGTATAGATATCTTTAGACACCCCCCCATATCCTGCCCCTTCCGACCTCTCTCCCCTCCTTCTCCCTCCCCCATGCATCATACAACTGGGGCCACGGACAGACCAGCCCCAATATTGTCAAACTCGAAAAATGGTCAATCCCACCAGCCCTCTGGGCGTAGGTGGTGGAGGAAGTTTCCTCTTCCACCCCTCCTTCTTCCCCTTCGGGGAGGGGTTTATCCCTCCCCCTACCCCCTCCCCTGGACCTGGACAGGGGCTTCCGCGAGTCGTCGGAGCGTCCAAAACGGCCTCGGCGAGGAAGCCAAAATCATTGATTGTACTAAGGTTTTTGCCCCATTTTGGCCTCCTGAGGGGGGGGGGCCCTAATTAGTGACCCCCCCTCCTGTGATCGATCTCACCCAAGATGGCCCAAAGATGGCCCCCAAGGCTCCCAAGGGCGCCCCAAGAGGTGGCCAGGAAGCCCCAAGAGGCCTCCAGGATGCCCCCAAGAGGCTCCCAAGAGACCTCCAAGAGGCCCCAAGAGACCCCCCAGAGGCACCCAAGATGCTCCAAGAGGCCTCGGCGAGAATTCCAAATCATTGTTATTGTGCTAAGGTTTTAGCCACATGTTGGCCTCTTTGGGGGGGGGCACTGACTAAGATGACTCCCAGAGCGCCTGGGAGAGCCCAAGATGACCTCCAAGATGGCTCAAGATATCCCAAGATGTCTCATAATGGCTCCCACGATGCTCCAAGATGGCCCAAGACCGCTCCAAGACGGCTCCAGGTGGCCAAAGAGCTCCCCCAGGAGGCCCAGAAGAGGCCAAAACCTTAGGAACATCTATGTGTTTGGTTTTCTCGCCGTTTCGTTTCCGACGGCCATCCTGGCCATCCGAGGCCTCACGATGGCTCCAAGATGGCCCAAGAGGGCTCCAAGAGAGGCTCAAGAGAGCCCCTAAGAGCGCTCCAAGAGCGCCCCAAGAGGCGATGTGTTGGGCTCCCGATGGGCAACGCTAACTAATGGTCGCTTCTTGTTTGATCGATGTCCTCCAATATGTCCCCAAGAGCGCTCCCAAGGCTCCCAAGAGCGCTTCAAGAGGCAAGAGGCGCCCAGGAGGCCCCAACAGGCGCCAAAGAGGTCTCCAAGATGCTCCCAAGAGACCCCCAACAGGCCCCAAGAAGCTCTCCGAGGCACCCAAGACGCTCCAATAGGCCTCCACTGGGGGACCCTTCCTCTGCGTGCTGCCCACCTGCCTGATCGAGGCACTTCCCCTGGGCATCGTTTCTGGATGGGCTGGTGGGGTTACGCGAAGCCTCTAGAATTTCCACCCCATGTCACGCCCTCACGATGGCTGTGGCAATACGTCGAGGGGCATATGCAACCGTGGACATGTCCTACCATCGCCAACATTGCTGGACAAGCCATCTCACAGCTTATGATGAGCTGGGAGATGACCATATTACATGCGCACTTCCAACCTCAAGGCTCCTAGCTGCGATGGTACACAACACCAAATGCAGCTCCAACGCCAGTACTGCTACCTGTTGTTGCAAGCTCAACCTTCACATTAGTATGACAACGTAGGCGCCGCATTTGCAACTTATTCTCGCTCGTTGATCCCACGAGCATTGAAATGTGCACCATTACAGCTGCTGCAAATAAACAATGGCCGTTCAAGTCTGGGGGTATCACAACGTCACTGAGCAAAGGACACCGATCACGTCATGGTCGAGCCCCTGCCCCTGGTGGCACGATGAGCCCTTCATAAACGTAAAGGCGCGGATATCGCTGCGGAGTGACCGTATCTCCACTCCCACACTCTCACACATGAAAGCCACATGTTGTCTGCACGACGACACAAGAGAGGGGCAACGGAACAGGAATTGCGGGGACGATGTGGGCAGTGCGATGGGATGACGAGGAGATGGACCTTGAAGGGCAACACACGAGGATGATACTGAAATTGCCGACTAGGAAGATCAGGAAATCAAGGTGGACGGTCGGCCGGCCCCCGTGGGGGCCACCAGGCTGCGCGGCGGAGATGTCCTGCACACTGCGCTTACAGTTTCCAGTGCCCAGTGGTATAGTGCTACTTGCTGATGCCTACTGCAAAGTATCCCTGCGCGCGCGAGGGAGGGGGGGGGGGACGCCAAAACCATGCTGGTCACCGTCCCCGAAGCGCGGTGCCTGAATCCCACCAGCCCTCTGGGCGTAGGTGGTTTAGGGCGTTTCCTCCCCTTCGGAGGGGTTTACCCCTCCCCCTCCCCCCCTCCCCTGGACCTGAACGAGGGGGGGGGTCGCGCGAGGTGTCAGACGGTGCGTTTTCGCCGACGACGCTCTCAGAGGGCCTCAGGGAGCCCAAGATGGCCTCCAAGACGGCTCAAGATAGCGCAAGACGCCTCAACATGGTTCCCAACATGCTCCCAAAGGACGAAAGAACGTTCCAAGACGGCTCCAAGAGGCTTCCGAGACTTCCAAGGAAGCCCCCAAGAGGCCAAACCCTTTCCAAAACCAAAGGAACATCAATGAGTTTTGCTTTCTCGCCTCTTCGCTTCCGATGGCCGTCCGAGACCTCAAGATGGCCCCAAGACGGCGCCAAGAGCGCCCAAGAACGCTCCAAGAGCGCCTCAACAGCGCCCCAAGAGCGATCTGAGATGCTAACGAGGGGCAAGGCTAATCAATTGCCCCCCCCTTCTTTGATCGATGGCCTCCAAGATGGCCCCTAGAGGCAGCTAGGAGGCCCCCAAGCGGCCCCCAAAAGCTCCCCCGAGGCACCCGAGATGCCCAAGAGCCCCCCAGGACCGCCACGAGACCCCCAAGACGTCCTAAGAGGCCTCCACGAAGTGCCCAAGAGATATCCCAAGAGGCTCCGAGAGGCATCCAAGAGACCTCTGGCCCTTCCTCCTCCTCCTCCTCCTCCTCCTCCTCCTCCTCCTCCTCCTCCTCTTCCTCATCCTATTCATCTTCCTTCTCCCCACTCCCTCATTCATCCATCCAGCCTCCTCCTTCTCCTCCTCCCTCCTTTGCCCGGTGCGGCCGTCCATCTCTTTGCTCCTGCACTTCCCTGATCACCTCAACCCGCCTGGACATCGTTTCTGGATGGGCTGGTTGGGATACGCGAAGCGTCTAGAATTTCTGTGGGACATGTAACAATGCGTGAGATTCGCGCTCCGAAACAAAATCCATTTGAAATTGCAACGGGTTCGCGTTCCCGGGGCCAGACTCCCGTGTGAATGATGTCCACTCGCGATTTCGAAGCCAGAATCCTTCCAAAATTGCACTAGACTGGTGCTCCCAGGGCCAATACTGCAAATCACACCAGATTCGCGCTCCCCAGGTCAAAACTTCGTGCAAATTACGCCAGGGTCCCACTCCCAGGGCTGGTGAATTAAACCAAACTGGTGTTCCCGAGTCAATCCCTAGCAAATTACACCAGATTCGCGCTCCCGAGGCCAAACTCCCTTGTATCTTACGCCAGGTTCGCGCTCCCGAGGCCAGAATCTGCAGTAAACTCGCCGACCCAGTCGGCGTGTGCGAGACACTGTCGTCGTCTTAGTCGTCGTCGTCGTCGTCGTCGCTAGTTCCAGGGAAATCTAGAAACGAACAACGAAAAGAAACGTCGTAAAGTAAATAAAACGTCGTAGGTAATCGATTCCCTCCCCGCGTCCCCTCCCTGACAGGGGGGTGGAATCGGGGGGGTGGGTGGGAAGGGGGCGATACAGAGGGCGAGTAGGGGGGGAGGGTCCCACTGCCCCCCCGAGGGCCCGGCAGCCCTCCCTCCCCCCTTCCCAGGCGGTCCCCTTCTCCTCCTCCTCTTTTGTTTCCCTCCTCCTCTCCTCATCTGTTGTTCCTCCTCCTCCTCTTCTTCCTCCTCTTTTTCCTGTTCCTCCTTCTCCTCCTCCTCCTCCTCCTCCTGCTCCTGCTCCTCCTGCTCTTCCTCCTCTTCCTGCTCCCCCTCCTCCTCCGCTCCCTCCTCCTCCTCCTCCTCCTCCTCCTCCTCCTCCACCTCCTCCCCCTCCCCCTCCCCCTCCTCCTCCTCCTCCTCCTCCGCCTCCGCCTCCTCCTCCTCTTCCCCCTCCTCCTCCTCCCTCCACCGCATGCCATGTCCCGAGCTTGTGACAGGGCCATCAGCTCGTCGTTGTCGTTGTCGTCGTGGCCGTCGTCGTACTGGGTCGGCCGCACCAGCCGTACGACCTTCACAAATACTAGCCACCTTCGCGCTCCCAAGGACAGAATCCCTTGTAAATTGCACAAGATTCGCATTCCCGAGGTCACAACCTTTCTAAATTGCACGAAACCTGCCCCACCGAAGTCGCAATCACTGAGAAGTTATTCAATAGTTGCGCCCATGGGCCGACGAGGTCGCAATCACTGGTAAACTACGCCAGAATCGCATCCTGAGCCTACGATCCTTCGACAATTACTCCAGCTTCGCGCCCCCCAGGCCACGACGTCTTGAAAATCATACCAGGGTCGCGCCCTCGAAGCCGCGATCCTTAATGAATGCTAGCGCTGCTGGATACGCGCTCCCGAGGCCACGATCGCTCGCAAATTACACCGCAGTCGCGCGCCCCGAGGCCACGACGCCTCGTAAGTTGCAGTGCGCTCGCGCCCCCGAGGCAGAACCCCCCAACATCTCAGACTGTCTGCCGAATGGCAGTCGCCTCCGCATGATGCTCCCAGACTTCCTCAAGACGGCGCCGAGACATCCCAGCAGGGCCCTGACAGAGGCCGTTGTGATGGAGATTCGGGGGCGGCCATAGAGGGGGGCGTCCACGAGGGGGGGGTGGAAATCATGGCCGGCGGCACGTGCGCGGCCCAAGGGGGGGAGGGAGCCGGGACGTAGTGGAATAAGAAGAGGCGCCATGAAATCTGGGAAAATCTCATGGCCCACGCCAAGATTCGGGGATGGACAGACCCCCCTTTCGCAAAACGTGGTTTAGTGAAAACGACCTGAGGCCCAAACCTGGCGGGCGCAAGCCTGGAAAATAACGGCCACGGCGCCCTCTCGAGAACCGAAAACGGACAATTCACTAATCGACGTGCCCGAAAGATGTCCACCCCCTCACTAATCTTTCGGGGGTGGACAGAACCGAAAACGGTTCTGTCCACCCCCGAAAGATATCCCCCCCTAGTCATCACCCCTCTCTCTGCCGCCCCCGAGAGACGGGGCCAGCGGCAGAGGGCGAAGCCCGCACGGATCATGAGGAGGACGAGGCCCGCGGCGGAGAAAAAAGAGGGGAAAGAGGACAAGGACTGCCGCTGCCTGCTGCGTCCTGCATCCCGCAGTCCGCTGCTGCGCCTGCTGCTGCCCCTCCTCCCAGAGCTGCAGCCCTTCTCACCACCAGGGGGCGGATCTCCAACGAACTCAACTTTGACCAACCACTATTCACATGTTAACAAACATGTTTGCGGCAACTTATGTACGGAACATCCACCGCCAATAATTTGCAACGTCAAGGCGATTTAAGCAGACTGGCCGGCCGCTTTCTGTCAGAGCAAAGCAAATGCACCGACTAGGTGGGTATCCTAATCACCATAAGGGATGTCTTACTGGCCTTCGATGTTGAATGTTGCACCTCAACGTCACACATTCAGAGGTGGCGACCCATTCCAGCAGTCGAGTTCGGAGCCTGCCTCAGCCAAGCGGGCGCCGACACCGACCAATTGGGCAACATGATCCACCCCTCAAGAAGACTCACATCCAGGTCCATCGCTCTTCTTACTCGTGCTCAGGCGCCTGGAGCCAAGGGCCGAGACCAAAACAAGAGGCTGGCCATTCCTTGGAGAAGAAATTCTTACTACATTTTACTTTCGCAGAAAAATGGCGGGGAACTGATGTGAATAAACCTCGTTGTGCAGGCGGCCTGGCGACTACTCCGTCACTACCAGGGTTCGCCAGGTCCACCAACATGAGCAACGCCTCCGTCATAGGTGTTGGGCAATCGTCTCCCCATTACCGCGCTCAATAGGTGATAGTGTCCCTGTGTCCCAATCTGGCATCATCGTATTGCCCATGCGGCATCTGCAATGACCTTACGTGACTAAGGGCGGCTCCAGCAAGGTTTCGCCACGTTGCCGCCCGTTGCCACCTCGTTGCCGCCTCGTGTGCTGGCCGGGTCCAGCGAGGTTTCGCCACGTTGCCGCCTGTTGCCGCCTGGTGCGTTGGGTGGGCCTGGCGAAATTTCATAACGGTGCCGACTCGTTGCCGCCTCGTGTGCGGATGGGTCTGGCGAGGTTTCGCCACGCTGCCGCCGCTTCGTGCGCTTGGTGGCTTTGCCACGTTGCCGCCCGTTGCCTCCTCGTTGCCGCCTCGTGCGCTGGGCGCTCGGTAGGTCCGGCAACATTCTGCCACGTTGCCGCTCGTTGCCCCCCGCTGCGGCCTCGTGCGCTTGGTGGGTCTGGTGAGGCTTTGCCACGTTGCCGCCCACTGACTCCTCGTTGCCGCCTCGTGTGCTGGCCGGGTGCAGCGAGGTGGGTCGAGGTTTCGCCACGTTGCCGCTCGTTGCCCCTCATTGCCGCCTCGTGCCTCGTGCGCTGGGTGGGTACGGCGAGGCTTCGCCACGTTGCCGCCTGTAGCCTCCTCGATGCCGCCTCGTGCGCTCGGTGGGTCTTGCGAGGTTTCGCAACGTTGCCGCTCGCTGCCGCCTCGTTCGCTGGGCGGGTCCAGCGAGGTTTCGTGACGTTGCCGCCCGCTGCCTTTTTCACAGCCGCCTCTACCTTGCACCACTTAAACTGCAACACCTAGCTGCATTACATCACATAGCCTGAGGGTCTTCGCTGGCTAACATGCTTGAAACTAATAAGTCGTGCTCTTACAATGAAAAAACTGCGACACACAGACGGATTTTAGACGAACAATAAACAACTCCTAAATACCCCAACATATGTTAAACAGATAATAGGAACATCGTCCCCGGATTATGTTTTGACTATTGAGTATTCCTACTGTAGAGGGATAGACCCGACTTAAGACGACATCGGGTAGCTACGGGTCAGGAATAACATCGGGCGCGGCGGCCGCGTTCCAAGCGCTCAGGATCGATCCGAGAAGAACTCCAGGATGCTCTGGAATGACCGACTCTGATGCGTTTCCTATAAAGGGACGCCAGCGAAAGGGACTTCTGAGACCGTGGCGTTGCCCTTTGAGACTTCGATGAGTGCGACTGAAAAATCACAATGCGGCAGCCTTGTGGGCGAAGCCGAGCGGAATTGAGAAATCGGCATCGCCCGTCTCAAAAGCCCCTTTCCCTGGGGTCCGTTTTGGAACCACATGAGACTCACGCCCCGAGGCTGCTATCCACCGGTGTGAGTTTCTCAGCCCGCGGCCCCAGAGGTCCCGACCGCCTTCCCTGGGGTAGCTTTTCGCCCTGGGTCCACTCTTCATGGTCCCAGGGTCCGAGAACCTGACCCAAAGGCCGACATCGACTGGCGGCGCGCAGAAGGGTGACATCGATTGGTGGAGTCAACGGCCGACATCGATCAAGGGGAGGGGGGAAGGCTGCTCGGAAGGAGGCTGCTCCTTGAAGGCGCCAGCCTTGCACCTCTAGACGAGGCCCGTGCCCTCTCAGAAGCAGGGGTGCTTCTAAGAAGCCTTCCGCCCTCCCCCGACCCCCTTCTTCGGGAGCGGCCAAGAGGGGGGTGTCCAAGAGGGGGGGGTGCAAATCATGACCGGCGGCAGGTGCGCGGCCCAGCGGGGGGGCATGGGACGTAATGAAATGAGAAGAGGCGCCATGAAATCTGGGGAAATACCATGGCCCACGCCATGATATCCACCCCCCCCTAGTCATCACCCCTCTCTCTGCCGACCCCGAGTCTGCGCGTGGCCGAATCGAGGAAACACGCCAGGATCGAACAGCTCAGACGGTGGAAGGTCTTTGGAGGTTGCCTGGCGGCGCCAACCCCAGGGGACCGCGGCTCTGTCGCGGTGGCGCCAGATTCATGCATCAGGGAGAAGACCCCCGAAACACTAGGCTTAGGTCGGGCATGTCCCCTTACAAGCAGATGGAGGACAAATAGAACATGGTCAAGAAATACTATATAAAACCAACAATTAATGGACAAATCGCCCCAAGACTATTGTTCTGCCTGTTTTTGAATATTCCTCCTGTAGAGGGACGCGCCCGAATTAACGCTAGGCCAATGCCACCTGGTTCGGCGACGGAGCGTGCCGATCTGTATGGGAACGGGCCCCGTCGCTAATCCACGCGTCTTGATCCATTTTTGCAGGCCTGTCCTCGGATCCATCCTTCGACGTACCAGCATTTTGAAGGCCTGGAAATGAGCGCCAACACCAACACAGGGGGCTGCTTCCACCGGGGATTCATGATCCTAGATTCTTGCGTCAGTGGAAAAATCTCGGTCACCCCGAAGCCCGAACATTGCCACCATCACCGATCTCGGGAGCACTTCCTCTTGGTGGAGGCACACCGCTGATATTGGTGTTGGTGCTTCCCTCTGGGCCTCCGAGCCTCAATTCCCCGAACCGTTCTCGGGGACCTGCTGACCCGGGTCAATCCAAACCCGTGTCAATCAGGCCTTGCAGAATCCTGGAAGATCCTGCATGATCCTGTGCCCAAACCCGGGTCAATGCGAAGGATCCTGCAAAATCCATCAGGATCCTGCACCCAAACCCGGGTCAATGCGACCCTGGCCCTGCAGGATCCTGCAAGATCGGGCGCTCTGGCTGACCCCCGCTTGCACTGACCCCCGCCCCGAGGCTCCCGCCGTCCTCGAAGTAGCAGTCCTCCGGGCCGGCGTAGCGCTTCGGCAGCTGGGTGGACGCCGCGCAGGCGTGAGACGGCCACGCGCCTCCGCCGCCGTCCCTCGACCCGCACCACTGCGCAGGCGGAGGGGCTCCCTCCTCCTCCTTGCTCCCAACTCGTCTCCTCCCCTCGACCCTCCTCCTCCTCCTCCTCCTCCTCCTCCTCCTCCTCCTCTTCCTCCACCCCTCTCCTCCTCCCCTCCTCCTCCTCCTCCTCCTCCTCCTCCTCATCCTCCTCCTCCCCCTCCCCTCCTCCTCCTCCCTTCCTCCCCTCCTCTCCTCCTCCTCCTCCTCCCTCCTCCTCCTCCTCCTCCTCCTCCTCTCCTCTCCTCCTCCTCCTCCTCCTCCTCCTCCTCCTCCTCCTCCTCCTCCTCCTCTCCTCCTCCTCCTCCTCCTCCTCTCCTCCTCCTCTCCTCCTCCTCGAGCTCCCCCCATCCCTCCGTCCCCCCTGCGTCACGCGCCCTCCCCTCCCCCTCCCCTCTCCTCCGTCCAGGTCCAGCCGTGCACGCCCGCCTCCTCCCGCCATTCGCGCACCCCTCCTCCCACTCCCTCCTTCCCCCTCCCCTCCTCCCTCCTCCCCCATATCATCCCTCCTCCCTCCTTCCCCTCCATCCCTCCTCCACTTCTTCCCCTCCCTCCTCCACCAGATATCATCCTCCTGCTTCCGATGCCCCGGCTGATCAGGTCGATCCGCGCAGCTGCTCGCATGAGCAAGCCTCGAAATCACAAGCTGTGATGATGTCTCAGGCGAAACGGCCGGCCCGCCTTGCTGTCACGTCTGGTGCGACGAGGAGAAGTTGTTCAATTGGAGAAGGAGGCGGAGGGGAGAAGATGGGGTGGCAGCAGAGGGAGGGGGATGGAGGGCAAGACTGAAAGGGAGGATGCTGTGAGATATGATGAGGAGCAGCGGGGATGATGTTATCTCGCGTTTTCGACGACAACAACAAGCGCAACTTCCTGGTGCCGAGAGTCGGCAGAGAAAGCGCGAACCAGCAGCGAAGGGCTCCCCAGACGAACGGCGAGTGCAGCACGCCCAGGGGTGGAACGAGATGGGATGGAGGGTGCAAGAGGATCAAGGGTCAGGAAAAAACGGTGAGGCAGAGCAACGAGGGAGCGGCAATCGGTGAAGCACGGCCGGGAGCCCAAGGGCTCTCCTGCCACTGTCGATTGCATGGAGAAGGGCCACGGGGGACGACGGGCCATCTGCCCTGCCCCGTCTGCCCCACGCCACCACAACGCCCCACCGCCACCGCCCATCCCCCTCCTCCCTCCGTCCCTTACGCCCTTTCCACCTGCTCTCTTCCCCTCCACCCGATCCCCGGGAAAAGGGGGAGCTGCCGCGGGCGGAGGCAGATGGAGTGAGAAGGGAGGCAAGGAGGAACAGAAAATGGAAGAGGGAGAAGGAGAAGGAGGAATATCACCCGTAGATAACAAGGATGATCATGAGGAAAAGCGGACTGGGAAAAAACCTTGGAATATATGAACACCCACGCCGTGGACGTAATTTCACGAAGAACGTGCCTTGCGAACACGTGGTAACATACACGCCGTCTTCCCTGGCTGCGAACACGCGAAACGGGCCGAACGTCTGGATGCTGATGTTCTCTGTAATAATAGCTCACCTCATGGGCCCTGGTGCAGCCCTGGCACATGGCAGACACCAGCTACGGGCAATGCCCAAGCCGCTAAACAACTGATATCGAAGTGCTCAGACGGGAACGTTGACGGATATATCCTCCAACCTAACAATTGAACAACCATGCTGCAACCGCACACACCACACAACTGCAATCTAACATCCAACCAACATGAGCAACTGCGACTAGACTCCCGTCAAGAATTCATGCATCCCTTACCGCCTGCTCGAACGAGAGTGTACCCGTTCGTCTCACCCGAAGACCTTGCATCGGTGAACACAATGGGGAGGATACGAAAAGCATTCGCTAGAGTATGCCAATGAGACTTCCAACATACAGCTCCATGGCTGGAACAAGGATGACCCGAAGACGTGTATCAAAACTGCCACTGATTATATCATCCGGGCGACTTGACATTCTCCTGCATCGCGCTCGCTCTCTCCTTCTCTCTCTCTCTCGCCCTCTCCCTCTCCCTCATTCGAAATCACGCCCGAAATAAGTCGTCAAGACTCGGACAAACGAGTCTGATACGAAAATTAGCTTCGAAAGAGGCGAGGCTCTGTGACATGGGGGGAGGGCAGAGGGGATGCAACCACGGAGGGGAAAGCAGGTGGACAGCAAACGGGGACTGACATAATACTGTATAGAAGGGACGACGGAATAAGGATAGCGCTGGGGGGAAAGGGGGGCAATATCAAGATGAATACTGAAGGGGAGAAGGTACGGAATGTAAGGTAAGAGCGATGACGAACTACCATCGGGGAGACGTAAGACTCGGGTACGGGGGACTCGGGTTGGCCCGACGGGGCCATCATAAAAATGACGAGGCCCAATTTGAAATTTGACGCGAACTCCCGCTGCACACAGCCCACGAAAACTGGACCGTCAAAATCCAGGACGCGCTCGTCAAGAAAACCTTGGCAAACCCGAGTTCCGGCTTACCTGGGTCTTGCGTTTCCCCGATACCAAGGGGAACACCAATGGGGAAGGGGGGGATAAATGGTTGATGGTGAGGAAATCGGGGGATGAAAGCTAGAACAAGAGGGAGGAGAAGAGAGGACAAATCATCATATTGCATACAGACAAGCAGGGTTGGGGTATGAAATGAAAGACGGGTAAACGAAACGTGGAAAAAAATGTGTAGCGGATGGATTGGCAAGAGACAAGGGACCGTCAAGGATAACGACACGAGAAAAGGAAAAAGGGAGGAGCGGCGAGGAGGGAGCATACACACAAGACTAGGAGGAACAGGACAAAAGGATATGAGGATGACGAGATTTTTTACAGGGATAACCAAGGAGGGTAAGAGGGAACGTGCTTCCACCATCGCGGCATCCGGCGGCGGCAGAGACGCCAAGGCTGCTTTCCCAGAAGACCAGGCCCTTGCTGTCGCTCGGACGTCCATTTCCTGTGCATTGTTCGGTTTCGTGCGTTTTTTTTGCTCCATGGTCCAGGATGGTCCTCGCTGGTTCTCGCCGAGAAAGAATGCACTCGTCCGAGCGATGCCAGGGGCCACAACCATCGCGATCGCCATCGCGCCGCTCTTGCCGCGGGCAGGGACCCCGAGACGCCACTGCGCCCGCCGCGACCCCCTGACGGCGCCCCGCGCGGCCTCGGCAACCGCCGCTCGCGAAGGCAACCCGAACCGGAGGGTACCGCTGCGGGCCGCGGCCGTGCCCCCGGCCCGACCGGACCACGCGGCCCCTGCAGCAGGCATCTGGGCGCCGGGCGGGGGGCCCGCACGCAGACGCGGCGCGGCTGCGCGAGGAAGAGGGACGCCCGCATGCGAGGCCCCCCCCCCCGAAGACCCTCGTCGGGAGCTCCTCGCCCGCGGATGTGTGCACCGATGTGCCTCTGCGGCGCCAGTCGCCCCTGGCGCGCCTGCAGCGGCATCGCTCCACCCCCCCCCCCCCCCGGCAGGACCGACCCCGCCCCGCGCCCAGACCCCCGCCCGACGGACGTGCCACCCTCTGCTGCGCGGTGCTGCTCCCTCTGGCGCGCGGCGCGGCCCGCGCGACCTGCGCCGCAGGGCCGCCCCCCGCGCGCGCGGCGCCGGCCCGCTCCCGCAGAACTTCTGGGGAGCGGCACGCGACCGCGGGCGGCGCGCACCGGAGTGCGGCGGGCGGCGTGCATCGGCGTGGGGGGAAGGGGGGGGCCTGCGACTCACAGGTGGCGTGCTTGCCTCTTGCCCGGCGCATTCGACGAACCGTCTGCAATCGTTTTGCCCGTGCGACTGTGGCGTCGCCCTGCCGGCAGCGACGTCGCACGCCGCTCGCGCGGCAATGCGGGGCGCGCGGGATCGGGCGACGCGCGCGGGCTCGCGGGCCTCTAACTTGCTCGCTCCTGCTCCGAACTGTTGCCTGCCATCGGCCAGAAGAGCTTTCTATGG